TTCTCTGCCCATGTTTTAGCTGGACAACAGCACATTCTTATTTCTCTGCTACATGGGAAGGAGAAGACATTGCACTAAGATGTTAGCCAGGACACCGCCATGTTCTGCTGTCGGAAGAAGGGGTAGACCAGGCATGCTTCTCGGCAAGTGTCTTAATTTGAAGGTAGACGCAATTGATGAGGACATTCCAGAGGAAACTGAGTACGTAATGAAACCCTAACACACTTTCTGGACAGGCCCAAGCCTTGTTAATCTGCTGTAGCCCAACGCAAGAGGACGTAAAAGACTTAACAAAATTTATTACAGCATAAGCTTGTGTGAGTTAGCTCACTTTATCAGATGTATGACATGGACGTCATTCGGCTGAGGACAGGGCTCGCAATAATGGGTTTAAATTAAGGGTGGGAAGGTACCAACTGGATATTAGGGAAAATCTTTTTGACAGTGGGAGTTGTGCAAGAGGGGAATCAGCTGCCTAGGGAGGTGGTGAGCTCCCCCTCACCTAGCAGTCTTGAAGCAGCGGCTGGACAAACCCTTCTCAGGGATACTCTAGGCCAGTGGTGGCGAACCTATGGCACAGGTGCCAGAGGTGGCACTCAGAGCCCTCTCTGTGGGCACGCGTGCCATCGCCCCAGCCAGGCCCAGACCATCATTAAAGTGTTGAATTCTCTGCCAAATAATTTTAAGTAAATGAAAGCATTTGGGATTGCTTTCCTTACTTTGTTTGGATCGATGTATAAGTTGTTTTTTCTAAAGTAAAATCTCAGTATTCAGGTTAAATTGCCGTGTTGGCACTTTGCAATAAATAAGTGGGTTTTGGGTCGCAGTTTGGGCACTCGGTCTCTAAAAGGTTCGCCATCACTGCTCTAGGCTGATCCTGCACTGAGCAGGGGGGTTGGACTAGATGGCCTGTAGGGCCCCTTCCAACTCTGTGATTCTTTGATGGGCACATGTGTTGGAATGCAACCCAGGTTGTGTGGTTAAGAAGTATCATTCTGAGTGCCTTTTTGGCAGCCGCAGCAAATTCTTAAGGAAGCAACAATCCAAGGTCATCCCTTTGTCTCCAGGAGCTCAGTTGAGAAGTGCGGCTGTGAGCCCGAGACATTTCCAGCTTTGTCAGGCTAAATGCAACGGATGCCATCTAGTGGTTCCGTGTCAGAATAACAGACATTTTAAAGATCGCCCTCCTGGTAGACTGAAGTGTTCCGCTACAGGTTTCGGGATGTCAGATGACTCAGCAGTTATCCTTGTTTGGGTTGGGTTGGAGAGCATTAACAGTACGCAGAAGGGACTTTAAGTAGGCGCCAGAGGTGACCACCTGTGCTTGCCGCTTTCCCTTTCTAGCTTGTCTGATCTGTGAGGAGACTACAAAGGGAGGAGGGGTTGTTTAACTGCCGAAGCGGTAACTGCCTCTGACATGGAGATTCCATTCGACCATCTTGGCCTAATCGATGAACCCCATCCTCCATTAAGGAATCTAATCTCCTTTTCAAACCCTCTGAGATAGGAGGCCTTGCAATAAATTCCATTGCTGCAACTTGTGGCAGTGAATTCCACAAGTTAAGAAGAAGAAGAAGAGAAGAGATTGGATTTATACCCCGCCCTTCACTACCCAAAGGTGTCTCAGAGCGGTTTACAAACTCCTTTCCCTTCCCCTCCCCACAACAGACACCCTGTGAGGTAGGTGGGGGTGAGAGAGCTCTGACAGAAACTGCTCTTTTTCAAGGACAGCTCTTATCAGAACTACGACTTGCCCAAGGTCATCCAGCCTGGTGCAAGTGGAGGAGTAGGGAATCAAACCCGGGTCTCCCAGATTAGAGTCCGCGCACTTAACCACTACACCAAACTGGCTCACATTGTTTTGTAAAGAAGGACTTCGCTTTGTCGGTTTGGGAGTCTATGGCCCACCCACTTTGTAGAAGGACCCCAAGTTCTAGCATTACAAAGAGGGGAAGAAAAAGTTCGTTGTATCTACTTCCTTCACACCGTGCACACTTTTATGAACTTCTGCTTTATCCTGCCTTAGTCTCTCCTGAACTGAAAATCCTCACATTCCTTACCTATCGCCTAGCCCTTCTACTCAGGAATGTTGTTTGATCTATGAGATCAGACTTTTGCATAACTTTGTGGGATTTTCTTCCTTCCTTGTTCTGATTGATCGTTCCAGGACCTACTTAAGGGTTCTTGTACTTTTCTGGTAAGCATAAAAGTACTACAAGACAGAAGGCATGGGAAAGAGCAGGTAGAGAAAGAGGTACTTTTCTCCCTTTCTCACAATACAAGAACTCGTGGGCACTCAATGAAATTGCTGAGCGGTCGGGTTAGAACGGATAAAAGGAAGTACTTCTTCACCCAAAGAGTGATTAACACTTGGAATTCACTGCCACAGGAAGTGGTGGCGGCTACAAGCATGGACGGCTTCAAAAGGGAATTAGATAAGCATATGGAGCAGAGGTCCATCAGTGGCTATTAGCCACAAGGTATAGATAGGGGCTCTGGGGCAAGTGATGCTCTGTCATCTTGGTGCTTGGGAGGGTCAACAGTGGGAGGGCTTCTAATGTCCTGGCCCCACTGGTGGACCTCCTGATGGCATTGGTATTTCTGGCCACTGTGTGATACAGAGTGTTGGACTGGATGGGCCTTTGGCCTGATCCCACATTGGCATCTGTTATGTTCTTATGTTCTTAAGGCGCCTTCAAGGCACCAGCGAGCCAAGATTACAGTAGCTCTCAGGAACTCCTTTGCATCTTAGGCGACACACCCCTCATGTAGCCAATCCTCCAAGAGCTTACAGTAGCCCCTGTAAGAATTGCTCTGTAAGCTCTTGGAGGATTGGCTACATGAGGGGCGTGTCGCCTAAGATGCAAAGGAGTTCCTGCTACAAAAAGAGCCCTGGCTGGAAATACTGCAGACTTAACACAACAGCAAGAGTCGTGTTGCGAGAGGGACAGCTTTTAAAATGCCTTCAATGAATCTCTATACAGTACAAGGTTGTTACATTGAGAAATGCTTTGCCCCCCCCCCTTTCTTAAATATTGTTGAGAAGGCCCTTCTCTCTGTGAGAGCAATTTCCAGATGTTCCACTTCTGAGGAACTTTTCCCCATCCGCTGTCTGCCATGGAGCCCCAGCATGTTGCAAAGGATTCTGGGTCACGACAGAGGCCCGACGTAGACAGGGAGGAGAATGGCGCAAGGATAAGGCTGTAGGAAGCTGAGGGTGGTAGGAAAGATCACAAAATACTGACTGTGGAAGAAGGATCATGGAGGTTTGCATTTCTGGAAAGTTTCCCTCCATTAAAAAACCCCACAAGCAGAAAACTAGCAGAGCAGGAAAGAGGTAGACGTTTCTTCCCTGCTCTGCTAGCTTTCTCTTGGCATTAAGCTTGAGAGCTAGCTCGGTGTAGTGGTTAAGAACGGTGGGCTCTAATCTGGAGAACTGGGTTAGATTTTCCACTCCTCCACATGCAGCCAGCTGGGTCCTCCTCCTCCTCCTCCTCCTGCTCTGCAACTGCTCCATTCAAGAGCCGGGGAGGGGCGGGGGGTGCTCCATTCCGCCTCTCTGTGCAGAGTCTGTGGTGGGGAGAGGAAGGGAAGGCAATTGTAAGCCACTCCGAGACTCCTTCGGGTAGTGAAGAGTGGAGTATAAAACCAACTTCTCCTCTTCCTCCTCCTCTTCCTTCTGTTCCTCTTCCTCTAACCTCTTCAAAACTGGAATTATTTTCCTGGATTCCTAAGAGGGGCATTCCATTCTACTGCCTTCTGAAAACCAGGCCATGGTCCATGTACACAGAGTCCCAGACCTTTACAACTTAGGGCTGCCAGCTGTGGGTTGGGAAATACCTGGAGATTTTCGGGGTGGAGCCTGGGAAGAGGGTTTGGGGAGGGGAGGGATCTTTGCAGGAGAGTCCACCCTCCAAAGCAGCCATTTTCTACAGGGGAACTGAACTTGGCCATCTGTAGATCAGTTGTAACAGCAAGAGGTCTCCAGGTGACCCCTGGAGGGTGGCAACCCACCTGCTCTATCCCATGCATAATCTTATAGACCTCGATGGTGTCACCCCTCAGTCGTCGTTTCTCCAAGCTAAAGAGCCCTAAGCAGAGTGATTGGAAGAAAGGGGAGGCGGGAGTTGGATGGGGTCTGGGTGGGGGAGATGGATCAAGATGGTTAACCGCGTCTGTCTGTCTGTCTGTCTGCCTGCATCAGTAGAAAAGAGCAAGAGTCCAGGAGCACCTTCAAGACTAACAAAATCTGTGGCAGGGGTGGAGCTTTCGTGAGCCACTGCTCACGCCCTCAGATACAAGGTGACCCACAAAACGCATACCCCATCACAAATTTTGTCAGTCAAGAGAAGATTGGATTTATACCCTTCCCTTCACTCGGAGTCTCAGCATGCCTTACAAACTCCTTCCCCTTCCCCTCCCCACAACAGACACCCTGTGAGGGAGGTGGGGCTGAGAGAGCTCTTGACAGAAACTGCTCTTTTTCAAGGACAGCTCTTGTCAGAACTATGGGGCTTGCCCAAGGTCCATCCGGCGGCTGCAAGTGGAGGAGTGGGGAATCAAACCCTCTTCTCTTCTTCCTCTTCTCCCAGATTAGAGTCTGCACACTTAACCACTACACCAAACTGCCTCTGCCTCCTTGCAAAGTGAGAATACAGTCTAGAATGGGCCCAGCACTCTCTTGTGACTGAGCAACATGTGGCAGAGGACCTCTCATACTAGTGGTGGGAACGCTTGGTTGCTGGCGTCGATCATCGCACCGGAGATCCCTTGACACATTTCAAAGAAACCGCAGGAGTCTTGGTGAGCACAGCTCACTCATAACTGAGCTCAGGAGCCTCGAGGAAAGGATTTCCTCCAAGTCCCAGAACTGCTGTTGTACAAAGGCACGATGAACATAGGAACCCCAACTTTCCAGGTTGTATTTGTGCACTAGGAGTTGCGGGCGGAAGCTAGACCTCTCTATTGCTCTATAACGGAACCGGCTCTTCTCTTTGCAGGTACCGACTCGTGCCCGATTTCCATTTCCCGGTGCAGTTCAATGATGTCCTCCATGCCGCGAGGCACTTCATGCAGCCCGAGATCCTGGCTCAGTATTCAGTCGACCCCGGCAGAGTTGCAATTTCTGGTGACAGCGCAGGAGGAAACCTGGCAGCGGCCGTGTGCCAAGAGGTGACAGCTCTTTTCCTGCTTACAGGAAAGAATGTGTGTACGTCCACCTGTCCTAAGCGGTGCATTCATTCTGACCTCAACGCAGCTAAGCTCAGGGCCTTCAGGCTGGGACCCTCAGGGCCCTGTGGAGCCCCACCTCCCAGGTTGTGAGCCTCTCCAGAGCTGCCGTTTTGGAATGACTGGCTGCTGGTGCCCACGCGTGGACAATGAGGGCACCTGGCTTCTAATCTGAGCAGCAGGACAGAAGAGCAAAAGAATGGTGATGTGGTGGTGCAGAAGGCTCCTTCAGAGACACACAGGCCACCCTCCCTGCAAAAGCTGTTCTTGCCTTCTTCTCTCCTCTCTGTTGTTCAAGCCCAGCCTCCCCATGCTCCCGCCCTCCGTTGCTCTGTATGAGTTTGTGGCCTGGAACCTTCTGTTGGTGAAGTCATAGCCGTGGCTCCTCCTCCTCCTCCTAGCATGTGACTCTGATGTCCCATGACTTCTCATCATGCTTGCTGGTCAATACATTCTTTGTTGTTAGGTAAAGGTTTCCCTTGCTCGAAAGCCAGTCGAATCCGACCCTAGGGATGTGGTGCTCATCTCCGTTTCCAAGCTGAGGAGCCAGTGCTGTCCAAAGGCATTTCCGTGGTCATGTGGCCGGCATGACTAAATGTGGAGGTGCACAGAACACTGTTACCTTCCTACTGAAGCGGTACCTCTTTATCTACTTGCAATTTCTTGCTTTCGAACTGCTGGGTTGGCAGGAGCTGGGGCCAGAGACCGGAGCTCTCTCCGTCATGTGGCACTCGGGTCTCGAACTGCTGAACTACCGACCTTCTGGTTTGCAGTTCAGCGTCTTAACCACTTGAGCCACCACAGCCCCTTCTTTGTTGTTACCTAGGTTTTAAAGCATCATTATGACCTCTGAACGAAAACATGGAACTTAACAATAGCAGCAAGTTTGGTGTAGTGGTTAACAATAGAGCCAGTTTGGTGTAGTGGTTAAGTGCGCGGACTCTAATCTGGGAGAACCGGGTTTGAGTCCCCCACTCCTCCACTTGCACCTGCTGATGTGACCTTGGGTCAGTCACAAGCTCTGGCACAGCTGTCCTTGAAAAAGAGCAGTTTGTGTCAGAGCTCTCTCAGCCCCACCCACCTCACAGGGTGTCTGTTGTGGGGAGGGGAAGGGAAAGGAGTTTGTAAGCCGCTCTGAGACTCGAAGTGAAGGGCGGGGTATAAATCCAATCTCTTCTTCTTCTTCTGCAAGAGGTCAAAATCTTGCTCTCTTTCTGCTTAGCGCAATAAATGTGTATCTCTCGGCATTTCCACACCGGGTTTTTGTCTCCAGCTCAGCTTCTTAACTGCATCATTTCCCCCCCTCTTTTACATACGGTAAAGGTAAAGGTAAAGGTTTCCCTTGCTCGAAAGCCAGTCGAATCCGACTCTAGGGTTGCGGTGCTCATCTCCGTTTCAAAGCCGAAGAGCCAGCGCTGTCCGAAGACGTTTCCGTGGTCATGTGGCCAGCATGACTAAACACCAAGGCACACGGAACGCTGTTACCTTCCCACTGAAGTGGTCCCTATTTATCTACTTGCAATTTCTTGCTTTCGAACTGCTAGGTTGGCAGGAGCTGGAACTAGAGACGGGAGCTCACTCCATCATGCGGCACCCAGGTCTTGAACTGCTGAACTACTGACCTTCCACAGCCTGCTGTTCAGCATCTTAACCACTTGAGCCACCACAGCTCCATTACATACGGTACCCTTGGGCAAAACTGATGTAGTTAAGAAGCAACAAAACCCAATACAGAGTAGAAATCCGGTGCAGAAAAGCCATTTGCTACTTGGAGGAAGGACATCGATGTGGACTTAAGCTGGGAACTGTGATTTTGTAAAATGCTGGACAGGGCTAGAGGTTCTTGCTCCCTTTGCAGGCTGCCGTTCCCAGAAGGAAGAAGTGACGTTGAATTTAAAGACGCAGCGATATTTGAGTTGCTCTGGGGTTGCTTTTCCCAGGGAAGCCAATAAAGTTTCTGCGTGCCTCTGCAGCCCTTTCAGAACAGATGCTAGCAGAACTCTTCCCCACCCCACCCCTCCTATCATGGCTCTTGGTGTTTTATGTGGTCAGCTATGCACATCCCATCTCTGGCACAGGGCTGCTCTCTTTCGTCAATATCATAAACAGCTGATCTCCTGCTCCACCCTGTCCAGGAAGGTTCAGCCATTTCCACGGAGATAGATCAAGATAGGGAGCCGTGTTCATCTGTCTGTAGCAAGAGAAAAGAGCAAGAGTCCAGTAGCACCTTCAAGGCGGACAGAATTTCTGGCAGGGGTAAGGAGCTTTCATGATTCACTGCTCGCTTCTTCAGACTCACAAAAGCTCGTACCCTGCCACAAATTTTGTTAGTCTTTATGGTGCTACGGGGCTCTTGCTCTTTTCAAACGTTTCCATGAGTCATATGGAGGGAAGAGATCTCGTAATGCCAGCATTTAATCTGGGTCCGTGCTGGAGACTTGCCGAATGTCGTGCACGTTTCTTGAAAGCTCCTTCCCTGCTGAATTAAGAAGCTCTTTAGGTCTTGTGCTTTTTGGACGTGAGCTGTCTAGGCTATATACGCTGGCGTTGGTGGTAGAAAGTGCCGTCGAATTGCGCCCAAACCCTCCAAGGGTTTTCAAGGCAAGAGACGTTCAGGGGTGGTTTCCCATTGCCTGCCTCTGCGTAGTGACCCAGGACTTCCTTGGTGGTCTCCCATCCAAGTATTAACCAGGGCCGACCCTGCTTAGCTTCTGAGATCTGACGAGATCAGGCTAGCCTGGGCCGTCCAGGTTAGGGCTCCGCTGGCTTTGGGGTATTCTAATTCAGTGTCTCCATTCTAGTGCCATTTGGTTTCTCTATTTTCCACAGTGTGTTTTCCATGAATTTTATCATGTCTCCACTAGTCCAGTCAGCAGAATACCAGACAACCAGATAGATAGCCTGGGCTATCCAGGTAGTAGAGAGGAATTCACTGTAATTCACCACAACCCCCTTTTGGATAACATGTAGGCTTACCAGGTTGCCCGCTACGGTGGGTGACCTCTGGTCCCTGCGGCCCCAGCTTCCCCCCCCCCACGCCACCCAGTACAGCAACAGCAGCAGGAGCAAAACTGGGGATGGGAGAGAATGTTGCCGGATGCACCCGTACTCTTTCCAGGTGCATACTCAGAAGTGACATATCCATGTTGGGTGATGATCTAGGAATCAACCCAATCTGTGTGTTATTGACCGTAGAGATTAAGTGAATTCCTAGAGTGCTGCCCAATGCAGTAATGTCACTTCACCCAGAAGTGATATTTGCATTGCCATATTGAGCAATGTTCCCTTTCCCTGTCCTCCTTCCCCCAAACCGCCCAGCAGTAGCCAGGCTAATAGGATGGGAGAGGACATGCAGGGGTTGGGTCAGGAGCAGCCAGTGTCTGGATTGTGACCCTTCCATTGTCATTTTTCTCTTCTACAGATGAGTCAAGATCAAAACGAAACTGGCAGGTTTAAACTGCAGGCTCTCGTCTACCCCGTCCTTCAAGCATTTGATTTTAATACTCCCTCCTATCAGCAGAACGAGTTCACCCCCGTCCTGCCCCGATTTGTCATGGTGAAGTTCTGGATAGACTATTTCAACGGGAACCGTGAGTTTGCCCACTCCCTGGTAGTCAACAATCACACTTCCCTGGACGTGGGCCAGGCCAGTTCTTTCAGGGACCGCGTGGACTGGACTTCCCTCATCACTCCTCGTCTCAGAAAGACCTACAGACCTGTAACCCCCACGACAGGGAGAGTGGAAATCCTGCAGGCTATCCCTTCGTTACTCAATGTCCGCGCCGCTCCGTTGCTAGCTGAGAAACAGGTTCTCCGGCTCCAGCCGAAGACGTACATCCTGACTTGCGAGATTGACGTTCTGAGGGACGACGGGATCATGTACGCCAAACGGCTGGAGGACGCGGGGGTGGAGATAACCCTGGACCACATCGAAGACTGCTTTCACGGCTGCATGATCTTCACCATCTGGCCGACCCACTTTTCGGCAGGAATCCGCACCAGGGACCGCTATATCAAATGGCTTCACGAAAATCTGTGAAGGACGCCTTCTGGGCGAAAACAAAACTGTAGCAGGCTCCGAATGCCATGAGCTCCTTTAACACAAGCTCGTGCCATCTTTTCTTTTCTTTTCTTTTCCAATGAGATTTAAGTTGCACTGTCAGGGTGTGCCACTAACGCCTCGTCTCGAGTCCCTTGGGCTTTTATGCCACTCTTTCTGACCCCCAAACGCGTTAGCAGGAAGCAAGCTGTGTTCAAGTCAAGGTGACCTCTCAAGCCACCCGCTGGGTGCATTTCAAATAGCAGCGCTGTCAGGCAGCCCCTGGTGGGGTTTTCAAGGTCACAGAAGAGCAAAGGTTGCTGGCCCTTGCTTCCCGTGGCAACGCTGGTCTTCCGTGGCGGTCTCCCATGCAAGTACTAACCATGGCTGACCCTGCTTAGCTTCTGAGCTCCGATGCGCTTTGGGCTCTTCAGGCTGGGTGTGCTCAGAAGCTGGGCTTATCCACTAAGCTTTGTCAGCTTCAGCTAACCTGCCGTTTGCCATTCCAGACATGTCATCATCTTATTCTGAATGTTCCATGTTGATCCAGTCTGTTAAGCACCACGGTCGATAGCTCAGATTGGGATAGGGCTGCCAAGTCGCGGCGGGGGATCCGCACGTCTTCACAGGATCCCTGCCGCGGGGGACAGCGATACGCGTTGCACCGCCGTCGCCAGGATGTGACGCTACGCGTCGCTCTGGCAACAGGACTCCAAACAGCCCCATTGCCAGAGCGACGCGTAACGTCACATCCTGGCGACGGCGGTGCAACGCGTATCACTGTCCCCCGAGGCAGGGATCCTGTGAAGACTTGCGGATCCCCCGCTGCGGCTTGGCAGCCCTAGATTGGGAGGAAGCATTCTGGGTACCAGCTTGCATAGCTTTGCAGGGGAATTCAGCTCACCAGCAGTCTCCTGATACCGACCAGGCGTTTGCTAGTTTTCCTTCTTTGTTCCTAGAAGACAGCCGAACAGGTGGGCTAGTGAAGCCAGCCTGTGCTCACGGTGAGCTGGACGGGCCTCATTATGAATTAAAGCAGCGGACTCTAGCTTCATTCACGTGTTACACTGAACGCATGAACATCCAGCCTATCCATTGGTGAGAAAGAGCCATCCTGCATTCATTTTACAAACGAGGCTGGGGACCAGTACCTGGGTAAATGTGCAGTTTCAGCCATACATGCAGCTGTACATGCAACGAATGTAACATGGGAATTACACAATATGCTACAGGGGAAAATCAAAGCCCGTTCAGATGAGCCCTCTGCAGGTTAGAATCATAGAGGTCGAAGGCACCTCCAGGGCTATCTAGTCCAACCCCCTGCACGGTGCAGGAAATTCACAAATACCTCCCCCCACACATCCCCAGTGCCCCCTGCTCCATGCCCAGAAGATGACACAAGTTGACTGGACGTATGGAGAGGGAGAGTAGGCCATTAAGTGTGGTGGCCATCCCTCCATGCGGTCACCATCCTAAGTGTGGAGGGAAGAGTCCATGCATATGCTCCCTCCCAGCATTCGGAAAGCAGTGTCTTTCACAGGGAGGGAGCACACACATTCTCTGCATGACTGCAGCGGGGTGGGGTCCATGCACCTGTCCCCTCTGCCCCTCTCTGCACATTCAGTCAGCACATGGAGTGGCCATGGGCTATGTTCCCTCTAAGCTGTGGAGTCTTGTGAGCAAAAATTCTATTTTGTGAGCCCCTGGCATTAAAGCGATTTGGCTGCTGCATCAATTAGTTTGCTCTGGAGCCCTCCTTCCTGAGCCGAGACAAAAATGTGTGAGCCGGAGGCCAGAAAACTGTGAGCTAGCTCACACTAACTCAGCTTCGAGGGAACACTGGCCATGGGTTACAGGGCTCGAGGGTACACTGCATAGAGACTGTACATAACGTTCAGTGTAACTTGTGAACAGGGCTTGTAAGTGCCTGTTCTGCTCTTGTGCAGAATCCAGAGAGCTGCGTCCTCAGCCAGCTAGCCCAGTTAGTTCCCCATCATCTCTGCTTCTGCGGAAGAATAGCCGCGGCGGTGATAGATCAAGCCCAGAGTGCAAGAAGCCTCGTTGCAAGGATGGAGGAGGACCTCTCCCGGCGTGCTGAGGAACAGCCCTGCCTCCTGCTCCAAGCACCAGTCCTGAGAGCTGCTCCAGGCCGTTCCTCCAGGCTGCCCTTTAATCCTTTGGGTTGGGCCCTACCAGCTTTTGCACTCACTCTTACCCCCATTCCCTTCCTTCTTGCAGCCACTGTCCGGCCTGGCTTTGTCCAGACTGTTTCCACAGTCCCTGGCAAAGCGTTTTCAGTGGCCCCAAAGAGACTTCTTCTTTCTCCAGCAGAAAAGCTGGTTGGATCCAGCCCCAGAATCAGAGAGTTGGAAGGGGCCATACAGGCCATCTTGTCCAGCTGCTGCTTCAAGACTGCCTTCAATGAAGGGGAGCTCACCACCTCCCTAGGCAGCCCATTCTACTACTGAACTACTCTTACTATTAAAAAATTTCTAATACCCGTAAGCCTGTATCTTTCTGTCCCTAATCTAAACCCATTAAGTCCCATCCTCTGCTGCCAACAGGAACAGCTCCCTGACTTCCTCTCAGTGACAGCCCTTCAAAGACTTCAAGAGAGCCATCCTGTCCCCCCCCCACCCTCCTCCATACTGAATATTCCCAAGTCCCTAGGCCTTTCGTTCATTCATTCATTCAGTTTATACCCCGCCCTCCCCACGAGCAGGCTCAGGGCGGCTTACATAAAAGAAATTGAGCCACATAAGTAACCGTTCTTTTCCTCCTAAGGCTTGCTCTCCAGGCCCCCCGATCATCTTCTTTGTCGCCCTCTTCTGCACCTGCTCCACATCCTTTTTGAAGTGAGGCCTCCAAAGCAGTACTCCTTTGTGCAAGCAATTTAAAATTGCTCCTGGCATTTAAGGCTGGGCTTTTAATCTGCAAGATCAATGGGTGTGCCACATTACGACGACTCCCTCAAAACCGGGGCTGCTGGCAGATGCGCTTGTACACACGGCGGGACCAGCTTGTCGCCGTACAAGCCCAGCCTCATCTTCCACGGAATTGTCTCAAAACTCCAGCCTAGTGCTCAGTGGTTGAACGTGGGTGTTCTGGACTGTTTTCTAGAGTAGAGTTTGCCTGTCTTTCTAGTCTTTTTTTTAATCTAATCAGAATCTCTGTGTTCACTGGACATGTTTTTGTGTTCTTATACATAATTTAAACGCTCTTCACTGTTGAAGCCTCATTTTTCTGCATGAAGTGGTTCTCCCGCTTAAGGATGCAAGAAGTGCTTTCCCACAAACCTCTATTCAGTTAACAGCATCCTTGGCGAGAGGATCCTGGTAACTCGCAAGTACCAGGGCGCCCTCTGGTGGACTGTCGTCTACCTCCTCGAGTAGATCTCAACTCTCGAAAAGAAGTATTTTTCTTTTCATTTAAAGGGGTGGCTGGATGTTAATAGTTTGGAAGCACGGGTCTGCTTTGATGTGTGTGTGTGTGTGTGTGTGGTGTGTGTGTGTGTGTGTGTGTGTCCCCTTTCCCTTTTCATGGGCATCGATCATTCCTCCTTCATGAGGAATGTTTTCACTTGATTGCAAGATTCAGCCAGTAGCACCTTAAAAGAACAAGATCTCCAGGGTATATAAGCTTTCCAAAGTCAAAGCTCCATTTGTTAGATACCAAAGCTGACAAGCTGGAAATCTTGTTGGTCTTTGAGCCGTTACTGAACTTGAATCCTGCTCTTCTTTTGCAGACCAACACGGCTACCCACCTGAACCTTTGTTTTCATTGGTGCATCCATTACTGACATGTGGTCGGTCACTCCTGGGTCTGTTTATCTCCTATAAATGTTTGAAGCTGGCCTACAGCAAGTTCCTCCCTGGAGATTTAACAAGGGGGGGGAATACACTTGAATCGGCTTGCGCACGCTGAAACAGCAGGGTTCTTCCAAATATCTTATACTGTGATATCTTCTGAGCCAGCTCTTTGGAAAAATCTCCTTATTTTTGACTATCAGGCACCAACCCTGAAATCAGTCTGTTTGCTAACCTGTGAATGACAACGCCTACCTACACAGAGTTACACCCTGCTAAGTCCACTGCATTCAGCAAGCTCAGAAGGGTATAATTCAGTTTGGGAGCACACTATAATAGAAGAAACAGCACAAGACTGGAAAACGTGGATAGAGCTGGCCCATAGAATCGCCAAGAGTCGAACACGACTGAATGGCTGACAACAACTACGGTTGTAGTAACTGCGCCTTCCCTCTGTCTGCTTCTGAGGGGCCTTTGGCATCAGCGCACCAAAGGAGAACCATGGACAGAACCGGCGTTCCAGGCAGCCAATCCTGCAGCATCTCTGGATGCACAGCCATGTCACAATATTTACCTCAGCCCTGTGGGACATTTTTTTTACATTGATACTCCTCCCTAATATTTGTGTAGTCAGGCTCTGCAAGGTTATCCTCCGAATTCTCTGGCCTTTTTGACAACCCGCGTTAGTGTATGTGAAAATCAGCTTATCTCTTCAGCCTAGTTCTGTCTTGACTGGACCATCATGGGGCGGGGAGACTCCTCCATCTTGGAATGTCCCCACATGAAAAGCAAATTTTCAGACGTTGGCAGGCCAGGGCAACGCGTAGGAATTCTTCTTTTCAGTATGGAAGAACAGTCAGTTTTGTGTCCTCTTCCCACCCACCACTGTTCCCTCTAAGCTGGGTTAGTGTGAGCTAGATCACAGTTTTTTAGCCTCCAGCTCACACATTTTTGTCTTAGCTCAGGAAGGATGGCTCCAGAGCAAACTAATTTATGCAGTAGCCAAATCACCTGCTCACAACATTAATGCCTGTAGCTCATCAAGTAGAATTCTTGCTCACAGGACTCCATAGCTTAGAGGGAACATTGCCACCCACCCCCGTGATGAGTGGAACCACTGAGGTTTATTTTTATTTACATCATTTTATATGCCACTTATCTCCCAACTGGAGACACATTGTGGCTTACATTGTTCTCCTCCGTTTTATCCCCACGACAACCCTGTGAGGTAGATTTGGGTAGGTGTAACTGGCCCAAGGTTGCCCATTGATGTCCAACCTAGGACAAAGTGAGGCCTCAAAGCTGGGTCTCCCATAGTCTAGTCTGACATTCTCACCACTGTACAACATGCCCATTTATGAGAATTAGGCTACCACCTCCAACAGATGGTTGTCACCGGCCTCCTTCCAGTTTGTGAAGTCATTCTTTACTTTTTCAGCGGCTCCTGTTTTGTTTTTGGATGCAGCGGTGTTCTCCTTCCAGCAGTTGCACAGGGGGCTCTTTATTACCTGCCAAAAGCATAGGTGAGTGGCAGGCCAGCTGTTAATTATATGCCGGCCATTTTGGCCCCCGGGGCTGCCTGTTGCTTACATCCCAGGTCTGTGAAGAAGTTAAAGCACTT